GATTGCACCGACTTCATGCCTGCTTTCCCTGTATTTTCCCTGTATTTTCCCTGAAGGTGCCGTCTCTGCATTGACTACATTGACTTGATGCCTACTATCCCTGCTTTTTCCCTGCATGTGCCGTTTCTACAGGAGCACTTGGCATGCTGCTGCCAGTGAGCCTTTGTTGTCCTGTGCGCTCATCCCATCATGCTTTCCCCTGCCGTTACCTGCTCTCCGCTGCAGGTGCCATTTCCACAGGAGCACTTGGCGTGCTGCTGCCAGTGGGTCTTCTTTCTCAACTGCATAGCCCCCATTCAACGCATTGACTGCATTGACTCTTCCCTGCTCTCCTTTGCAGATACCATTTCTGCAGGAGCAACTGGCATGCTGCTGCCAGTGGGACCTCTTTTTCGATTTTTTGCATACATGCGACCACCACCGCATCTTTTGAGTTGACTAAAACACCACCTTTTCATTGCCGCTCCTTTGCTGCAGGTGCCGTTTCTGCAGGAGCAATTGGCGTGCTACTGCCAGTGAGCCTTCGTTGTCCTGTGTGCTCATCCCATCATGCTTTCCCCTGCCATTCCCTGCTCTCCTTTGTAGGTGTCGTTTCTGCAGGAGCAGCTGGCGTGCTGCTGCCAGTGGGCCTTCTTTCTCGATTCAGATGCATACATGCGCATGAACCACCACCGTCTCTCCATTGAAGACCGGATCCAGAACATCAAGCAACCTGTGAGTGCATGCGCATTCCTATTCAAGCCTCCACTAACCCTTCTTCCTCGATTCAGATGCATACATGCGCATGAACCACCTCCGCCTCTTCATTGAAGACTGGATCCAGAACATCAAGCAACCTGTGAGTGCATGCGCATTCCTATTCAAGCCTCCACTAACCCTTCTTCCTCGATCTAGATGCATACATGCGCATGAACCACCTCCGCCTCTCCATTGAAGACTGGATCCAGAACATCAAGCAACCTGTGAGTGCATGCGCATTCCTATTCAAGCCTCCACTAACCCTTCTTCCTCGATCTAGATGCATACATGCGCATGAACCACCTCCGCCTCTCCATTGAAGACTGGATCCAGAACATCAAGCAACCTGTGAGTGCATGCGCATTCCTATTCAAGCCTCCACTAACCCTTCTTCCTCGATCTAGATGCATACATGCGCATGAACCACCTCCGCCTCTCCATTGAAGCCTGGATGCAGACCATCAAAGAACATGTGAGTGCATTCTTGTCTTTCTAAACCTGGCATGCCCCTGCCTACATCATTCGAATGTTCTTTCTCGATTCAGATGCATACATGCGCATGAACCACCACCGCCTCTGAATTGTGCATGCATGAGAAGATGCGTACCATGTAGGTGTGAACAACAACCACCTCTCGGTTGAAGGTTGAGACCGAAACATGCCTACAGGCTTGGATCCAAAATTTGAAGCAACCTGTGAGTGCATTCTCGCTCCATCCTGAAGCCTTCAACATGCCGCATTGTATCGCTGTTAAAAAAAAAAAAAAAAAAAAAAAAAAAAAAAAAAAGGTGCTTTGTGTGTGTGTGTGTGTGAGTGTGTGTGTGTGTGTGTGTTTTTTTTTTTTTTTTGTCAGGTCGTAGTAGGTTTCGATGCGCAGAGGCCTTGACGCAAAACGAGAATGCTCTGATTAACTTCTTCCATCTCGGACCTTCACTTGCCTTCCTTTACTTGCCTACTTTCTTTTGGCTTCTGTCACTTGGCTTCTGTCACTTGATTTCAACTGACTTGTGCCTCTTATTACCTTGTATGCCCCTTCCATCAGAATTATTTTGATTGGCTGGTGAAGGCCAACCGCACAAATTCACTAGAGGGGCAGGTGTGGGTACCACAAGACCCAGCCCTGCTGCTACAGCCGACCAACGCGCTACAGCTGGAGGGGCCAGTGGTTTTGTTACCACGGAATGGGGACCTGGGAGCGGGGTTTGAGGGGGGCGTTGGGACGCTGTTTAAGGAGCAGACGAATTTCATCAATGCGGGTGTGATGCTCTGGCGGAGGTCTCGAGATAGCTTCAAGGTTGCTTATCTTCATTAGCCTGCTCTTCTCCTCACGAGGAAAATACTTGTTCCTCTGTCCCATGCAGTCGTTTGCCAGTGGTACAATGTACGTGAAGGTGAATACGAGCTGTATCATCACGTGTGGAAGCAGGCAAACCTGAATGTTGAGTCTGCTGAGGAGTCACCTCATCCTCTTGTTCCCATCCCCTCCCATTGTTCCATGCAGTTCTTTCGCCAGTGATACAATGTACGAGAGGGCGAGAACAAGTTGCACCATCTTATATGGAAGCAGGCAAATCTGAATGTTGAGTCTACTGAAGAGTCAGTCACCTCATCCTGTTGCTCCGCTCCCCTCCCTGCGCCTCCTGCAGTTCTATCAGCAATGGTACAATGCGCGAGACGATGAGTACGAGCTGTACCATCGCGGGTGGAAGCGACTTTTGAGTCGACTGAAGAGTCACCTCATCCTGTTGTTCCCATCCCCTCCCAATGTCTCCCGCACTTCCATCAGCAATGGTACATTGTGAATGAAAGCGAGTAACATCACATGTGGGAGCAGGCAAACCTGACTCTTGGAGGCGCCTCACAAATCGTTCCCCCCTCCTCTCCCTTTGTGCCCTGCAGTTCTATCAGCAATGGTACAATGTGCGTGACGACGAATACGAGCTGTAATGAGTTTTGAGGTATCCCAAACCCCGCTGTTCCCCTCCCCTCCCACTGTCTCCCGCAGTTCTATCAGCAATGGTACAATGTGCGTGACGACGAATACGAGCTGTAATTAGTTTTGAGGCATCCCAAACCCGGCTGTTCCCCTCCCCTCCCACTGTCTCCCGTAGTTCTATCAGCAATGGTACAATGTGTGTGGCGATGAATACGAGTTGTACCATCACGTGTGGGAGCAGGCAAACCTGACTTTTGAGGCGCCTCACAAGTTGTTTCCCTCCCATCCCTGTGCCTCCTACAGTTCTATCAGCAATGGTACAACGTGCGTGATGACGAATACGAGCTGTACCATCATGTGTGGGAGCAGGCAAACCTAAACAACATTGCTCGGGAACCAGAGTGGAGGGGGAAGGTGATAGTCATCCCATATGCCGAGCTTACAGGCCCGCAGGGAGCGTTTGTTCGGCATGTGTGGGGTGGGTTGGACGAGGGAGAGCACGGCCGGGTGGTGGTTGAGGCGTTGGAGGAGGCACTGGGGTCTCAGCAGAGTGGAGGGGGAAGGTGATAGTCATGCCGCATGCGGGAAGGAGAAATTGTAGGGGTGGGGTGGGTTGGCCGAGGGAGAGCACGGCCGGGTGGTGGTTGAGGCGTTGGAGGAGGCATTGGGGTCTTAGCAGAGTGGAGGGGGAAGGTGATAGTCATGCCGCATGCGGGAAGGAGAGATTGTAGGGGTGGGGTGGGTTGGCCGAGGGAGAGCACGGTCGGGTGGTGTTTGAAGCGTTGGAGGAGGCACTGGGGTTTCTGCAGAATGGAGAGGGGAGGTGATAGTTGTGGCATTTGCCAAGCTTACAGGCCCGCAAGAGACGCTTGTTCTGCATGCGTGGGGTGGGGTGGCCGAGGGAGAATACGACCGAGTGGTGGTTGAGGCGTTGGAGGAAGCACTGGGGTTTCTGCCGAGTGAAGCGGGAAGGTGATAGTCGAGCCCTGTGCGGAGCTAGGGGTTTCTGCAGAGGGGAGGGGGAAGGTGATAGTTGTGTTTTGAGGCGCCTCAGAAGGCGTTGGTAGAGGCACTTGGGTTTCTGTAGGGCGGAGGGGGAAATGATGTAGAGGATGTTGTATCAGCCAATAAAGAAGTATTGGCAGGAAATGATGTTATATGTATATACCTAACACATAGCAGTTCACATGGCAAAGCATGTCCCTATGCACCAAGCAACGTTTTTGCTATGTACTGTGCCATATTGTTGTAGCTGGCAGCTGCTTGCATGTATGCTGTACGGTACATGTGTATTGTTAGCGACCTTTTTCATAACGGGTATCATCGTACATTGCTGCCACCTACCACATCTCTGAACATGGTACGTGTACTGTACATTATGATGGGCTGGGTTGGCACCGATCGACGTACCTGCTCCAGTGCTTGGCCCCCAACCTGCAGAGTGTTTCCAGTTCTCTGAACCAGTTTGGGTCACATTTGGTTTGTTCCCGTTGCGGGGCACTTGAAAAATATACCCATCGTAGTTTCTGTTTTGCAGAACCGCTGCTTTGCAGAGCAGGTAAATTGAATACGCCCTCGCAAGACAGTGTCCTCGAGATTATCTTATCCAAGTTCAGGAATCAGGAATCAAGACCAGCAGCAGCTAACAGCAATGGAGATTATCCCGTGGAGGTGATCGAAGCTTCACAAAGCAGATAGACCCAACCCAACCCAGGTTACACTAGCAGAAGCAGGAGCAACAGCAGGTTAGGATGCGAGAGCCTGACGAGGTTTTCGCCTCCTTTCGCCACTGCTCTTCGCCGTCGTTAGCCATCCTTACCTGCATGCTCCATAGCTCCTTATTGTCATCACTATCGCCATCAGACTAATGCCGGCTGCGCGCTTCGATTCCATTAAGATCCCATGGCGCTTCGATGCTAGCAACCCTCATCCATCCACCTAGACTGCATTATAGTCACTACCAAATGTAGTTAGCATTAGACTGCATTCCAGGGCGCATTTTAGGATTCAGATATTACATTTGAGTGCAATTCAGAGCGGGATTTCGCGTACTCGTGGTTCGTTACTCTGGATTCAAGCTTCGGTTCAAAAAGCATTAGCTCCTCACTCCCAGTTGGACTTCTGGACTGAAGGAAAAACGTTGCCTCGCCCTTCTCCAGAGTTACGCTCTTCCACCGTGTTTTATTTGACCGTACCGCAATGTACCATAAATTATTCTAAGACAAGACACCGCATTCTTTGGTCCTTCCGCCTTACCAACATCCTAAGTTATAGGGTTTCATCAGTCTCTTTATCCATATTTGTTTCGTTCAAAACACATTCCGTCATGGCGAGCAAAAACGACAAATCCCACCGACGCTCCGCCTCGTCTTCGATTGGAGGAGCCGCCCACGTGTCCCCGCAGCAGCTCTCCAAAGCAGCAACGCTGATGGAAAAACTCCAACAACCCGAAAACGCCGCCAACACGCGTCAGGTGGCCAAAGCGCGCCAAGTCATGACGCTTCTGCAGCAGCAGCAGCAACAGTCGCCGACGGGTCAACACCCGGCCCGGCCGTCTACAAGCGGCGGCCGTCCGACGGCCGTCAGCCGGCCGACAAGTTCCGGCGGCCGACCGGCAGCGCAGCAGCAGCTGCTTGAGAGGCCGAGCACGCCTAGTAAGGGCGACGGCGGCGGTCGCATTTCCGCGAGCGGCGGAAGCGGAAGCGGAAGAGGTGGATCGGGATCCGCGTTTTCCGCAGCCGGCAGATCTATGTCGTGTAGCGGCCGCGGCTCGCCACTTACGCCGCCCGGAATGCACGGCGCAGCGGCGCCGGGATTCGATGATCGGGCGGGGATCAGCAGCGGCAGTAAGGGCGGTGGTGTCGGGGGGAGGTCGTTTCGGCGGCAAAACAGCACAGAGGCGGAGAGACCGCCACGTGGCACTCCGCCGCCTGGCGGAAGCGCGGGGCGGGCAGGGAGGGAGAGGGAGGGGCGGCGGCGAGGTGAGGGGAGGAGGGGAGAGGAGGAGGGGGATTGGGAGCGGGAGAGAGAGTATGGGAGGGAGAGAGAGTACGAGAGGGAGAGGGGTAGGCATGGGGAAGGAAGGAGGCGCGGTGGGGAGATTGACAGAGATCACGAAAGGGACCTGGATGACCGTGACTTTAACGAATTGGACTACAAGGGGCGTGACTACAGGGATCGTGAATCGGACGAAAGTGAGGATTCAGAGTCTGGAGGTTATAACGAGTATGGTGGGAGTGGGGGCAGGGGGCAGGGGAGAAAGGATGAGAAACGAAGGGCAGGGAAGTTTAGAAGGGGGGAAGATGGAGAGGAGGAAGAAGAGGGGGAGGGAAGGGGAGAGGGGAGGGGGGATAACGGCAGAGAGGATTATGAGGACGGGGAGGAGGAATGGCATGGGAAGGGAAGAGGGGGAGCGAGGAGGGGGGAGGAGAGGGTGGGAGAGGCGGAGGGTAATGAATCTCCCCTCGAAAGTGAGAGCGACGGTGGGGAGGAGGAGAGGCACAGAGAACGCTACCGGCGGGATGACAGCCTAGGCTCGGGTGAAGGCTTGGGTGATGGCTCGGAAGCAGGCTCGGATGAAGAGGGAGGCGCAGAGAGAATGAGGGCGGAGGGGTATGAGGAGCGGGGGATTGGTGCAGATGGGTATGCGGAAGGGATGGGGAAGGGGGAAAGGGGATGGAAAGGGACGGAAGGAGAGGAGGAAGAGGAGTGGGATGAGGAAGAGGAGGGAGAGGAGGGAGAGGGGGCTTGGAACAGGAGGCTGAAGGAAGGAAAGGGGAGCATGCAAGGCGATGATAGCCGCGGCATCTACGGCACCCGCAGTGCTGACAGCGGTGCGAACCTGCGGGACAGAGGGCTGCCCCCTAAAGCTGGTGAGCATGGGGTGTTTTTTAGCGTCTAAATATTGGTACACAGTGCACACTATATATAGGGCACCCGCAGTGCTGACAGCGGTGCAAACCTGCGGGACAGAGGGCTGCCCCCCAAAGCTGGTGAGTCGGTGTTTGAGTGGTCAAACAAGCAAGTGCTGACATCCGTGACATCTAGCACGCTTGAAACAGACCTCGTGTTTTGAGTCGACTCAAAACGTGTACCACGCTCGAGACAGACTTCAATGCTGCTGCTGCCCATGACTCCCCTCCCCTCCCCTCTCCCCCTTCCCAGCAGCGCCAGCTGGTCGTGTGCTGCGCAAGTCACTCTCAGAGCGAAGCATTTCAACCACCAGCGACTCTGCTTTTGATACAGACCTCGATGCTGCTGCTGCTTATGTTTTCCCCTCCCCTCCCGGCCCTCCCCGCTCCCCTCCCGCTCCCCCTCCCCCCACTCTCTTCCCAGCAGCGCCAGGGGGACGTGTGCTGCGCAAGTCACTCTCAGAGCGAAGCATTTCAACCACCAGCGACTCTGCTTTTGATACGGACCTTGATGCTGCTGCTGCCACTGCCGCCGGTGTTCCTGGGATGGAAACACTGAGACAGGAAAGCCTACCCCTGGACCCCAGGCGTGGAAGGGGTTTGACAGAGCCAGGAATAGGAGGGGGGAAGGGTGACGGGCGGGCGGATTGGGATGAGGACGGGGGGAGGAGAAGAGGGGGAAGAGGGGCGTCTGGGGGGGGGCTTCCGCCTGTTGGGGGGGGAGCTTCCCCTGGTCTTCCCCCTGGCCTTCCCCCCCTTGCTGGGGGCGCTTCTCCTGGTCTTCCGCCCGTTTTTCCTGGTAGGAGCTCTTCTGTGGCTAGCGAGGAGTCTTATGACGGGGATGAGAGAGTGAGGGGGAACAGGAGGCGGTCGTTTACAGAGGAGGAGAGGGAGAGGGGTGGAGGTGGAAGGGGAGGGGAGAGAGGAGAGAGGGCGGAGAGGGGGGGAAGGCTGCCTAGGCAAGCGAGTGAGGGAGGTGCTATGCTGAGAAGGTATGAAGAGGAGGAGGCGGAAGAGAGGAGGCTTAGGATGAGCAGGCAAAGCAGCTTTGAGAAACAGGAGAGGGAGGAGGGGAGGGGTGAGAGGAAGGTTCGGGGAGAGAGGGATGATGGAAGAGTGGAGCGTAGGGGGGAAAGGGACGAAGTGAAAGGGGCTAGAATCCCGCGTGTGCCCCGTCAATCGAGTGTAGATGGCGGCGGGGGCGCGGAGAGGGAGAGGGAGGATAGGCGGGGGGATAGAATTCCGCGTGTCCCTCGACAAGGGAGTGTAGATGGTGGGCGGGGGGACAGGGATAGGGAGGAGAGGCGGGGAGGGGATAGGATCCCCCGGGTTCCTAGGCAGGGTAGTGTGGATGGTGGGGGATGGGAGAGAGAGAGGGAGGAGAGGAGAGTTGAGAGGGTAGGTGAACGGGACGAGAGGAAGGGGAGGATTGCGCGTCAAGCGAGTGTTGACAGCGGGAGGGAGAGGGATTGGGAGGAGAGGAGGGAGAGGGAGAGAGAGAGGGAGTGGGAAGAGAGGAGGGAGAGAATTCCTCGTCACTCCAGTGTTGATGAATGCAGGGACAGGGATCGGGACAGGGACAGGGAGAGAGAGAGGGAGAGGGAGAGAGAGAGGGAGAGGGCAAGAGCTGACGAGGCAAGGCGAGGAGCCCCGCGTATAGCCAGGCAAGCGAGTGTGGACGCGGGGTGGGGGAGAGAGAAGGACAGGGAGCGAGAGAGGGAGAGGGAGAGGGAGAGAGAGAGGGAGATGGAGAGAATGCGAGGTGGGAGGCCAGGGGGTGGGGTTCCCAGACAGGCCAGTGCCGACAGTGGGAGAGAGAGAGAGGGGGAACGAGGGGGAGAACGAGGGGGAGAACGAGGGGGAGACGGAGGGAGGGGAGAACCCAAGGGTCGGATTGCTAGAGGATCAAGCATGGATGTGGGTGCAATGCTGGGGGGGGGGGCTGTGGAGAGGAAATACGTGGGACAGGGGCAGGGGCAGGGGCAGTCACACTCTTCTCACTCCCCTCTGGCGCGATCCCAATCGCAGTCGCTGCAGCAGTATCACCTGCAGCAGCAGCCGCACAGGGCGCCCTTACCCAGACGTGCTTCTGTTGAGAGTGACCCTCATTCCCCTCACCGCTCCTCTGGGAGTGTCGGGAGTCCCCATAGCCCTGGCGCATCTGCTTCTGCTGCTGGTGGTGGTGGTGGTGGTGGTGGTGGGGGTGCTGCTGGTGCGAGCAGCGCAGGCGCAGACAAGAAAATCTCCCGCCTCTCCTCGCTTTCCGCGGAGGACCTGAACGCGTTGGGGGCAGTGGAGGGGGACGCAGCATGCACTGTGGAGGAAATCCAGTCCTCCTTTTTCAAGTCCAGCAAGAAGGGCGGGCTGCTAGGGTTTGCTAAAAGGGGCCTGGCTCAGATGAAAAGAGGGTTCTTTGGGAGTGGGGGCGGGAGCGTGCTTGGGCGGGAGTTTGGGCGGCTGGACAAGAAGTATATGATGAGTGAGAAGGAGCTTGGGGCGGGGCAGTTTGGAGTGACGCGCGTGGTGCAGTGCAAGCAGACCGGGCGGCAGCTGGCTTGCAAGTCGATCAATAAGGGCGACCTGAAGGTGAGGGGTTGCAAGTTTTGAGACGTCTCAAAATCAATAAGGGCGACCTGAAGGTGAGGGGTTGCAAGTCTGCTAGGGATGGGAATGTGGTAAGGGTTCAAGAAGCGGGGAGGTGGGAGGTGCAAGGCAAGTATGGGTGACTTGAAGGCGGGTGGTGGGTGGTGCAGTGCAAGCAGACCGGGCGGCAGCTGGCCTGCAAGTCGATCAATAAGGGCGACCTGAAGGTGAGAGTGGGAAGGGCAGGGGGGGGGTTACAAGGAAAGTAATAGGAGTGAATCAAAGGCAGGTGGTGCAGTGGTGCAGTGCGAGCAGACCGGGCGGCAGCTGGCTTGCAAGTTGATCAATAAGGGCGACCTGAAGGTGAGAGTGGGAAGGGTGCAAGGAGCAGGGAGGTGGGAGGTGCAAGGATTAAGGGGATCTCGAAAGGGCGAGTTGAAGGGGTGGAGAACTGATGTGGAGGCAGTGAAGAGGGAGGTGGTGGTGCATGAGATGGTGGGCGGGCATGACTATGTGCTTCTGGACCCCCTCTCTCCCTTCTCCCTCCCCACGTGCCCAGTCCTTTCTCCTTCTCCCCCCTTCGTTCTACAGAGCAAGGCGGATGTGGGGGCAGTGAAGCGGGAGGTGATGGAGCATGGGATGGTGGGCGAGTTTTGAGGCGCCTCAAAACTCGTCGCAGTGAAGCGGGAGGTGATGGTGCATGGGATGGTGGGCGAGTTTTGAGGCGCCTCAAAACTCTTCGCAGTGAAGCGGGAGGTGATGGTGCATGGGATGGTGGGCGAGTTTTGAGGCGCCTCAAAACTCTTCGCAGTGAAGCGGGAGGTGATGTTGCATGGGATGGTGGGCGAGTTTTGAGGCGCCTCAAAACTCGTCGCAGTGAAGCAGGAGGTGATGGTGCATGGGATGGTGGGCGGGCATGCAGGACTATGTGCTTATACGCTCCCTCTGTCCCTTCTCCCTCTATCCCCTCTTGCTCCACGTAGCAAGGCGGATGTTGATGCAGTGAAGCAGGAGGTGATGGTGCATGGGATGGTGGGCGGGCATGCAGGACTATGTGCTTATATGCTCCCTCTGTCCCTTCTCCCTCTATCCCCTCTTGCTCCACGTAGCAAGGCGGATGTTGATGCAGTGAAGCAGGAGGTGATGGTGCATGGGATGGTGGGCGGGTATGCAGGACTATGTGCTTATACGCTCCCTCTGTCCCTTCTCCCTCTATCCCCTCTTGCTCCACGTAGCAAGGCGGATGTTGATGCAGTGAAGCAGGAGTGATGGTGCATGGGATGGTGGGCGGGCATGCAGGACTATGTGCTTATACGCTCCCTCTGTCCCTTCTCCCTCTATCCCCTCTTGCTCCACGTAGCAAGGCGGATGTTGATGCAGTGAAGCAGGAGGTGATGGTGCATGGGATGGTGGGCGGGTATGCAGGACTATGTGCTTATACGCTCCCTCTGTCCCTTCTCCCTCTATCCCCTCTTGCTCCACGTAGCAAGGCGGATGTTGATGCAGTGAAGCAGGAGTGATGGTGCATGGGATGGTGGGCGGGTATGCAGGACTATGTGCTTATACGCTCCCTCTGTCCCTTCTCCCTCTATCCCCTCTTGCTCCACGTAGCAAGGCGGATGTTGATGCAGTGAAGCAGGAGGTGATGGTGCATGGGATGGTGGGCGGGCATGGTGCATGAGATGGTGGGCGGGCATGGTGCTTGAGGCACCTAGAACGATAATCGCCCCGTCTCCCTCCCACACTCTTTTCCTCCTACACCCTTTCCTCCCACACACTACAGAGCAAGGCGGATGTGGATTCAGTTAAGAGGCATGAGGGATTCAGTTAAGAGGCATGATGGTTCATGAGGTGGTGGGCGGGCATGGTGCTTGAGGCAGTTAGTGAGCTATGCACCCATCCGTACTGCTCCGTCTCCCTCCCATACGCCCTGCTCTTTCTTGCTCACGCTCTCCTTCCACTGTACAGAGCAAGGCGGACGTGGAAGCAGTGAAGAGGGAGGTGATGGTGCATGAGGTGGTGGGCGGGCGGGCAGGAGTATGTGCTTCTAGACTCCATCCGTTCCCTCTCCCTCCCCACGGGCCCTCTCCTTTCTCCTTCTTCCTCCTGCCCTCTACAGAGCAAGGCGGAAGTGGAGGCAGTGAAGAGGGAGTTGATGGCGCATGGGATGGTGGGCGGGCAGGCACGGTGCTTGAGGCACCTAGAGTGATAATATTTTCCATATTGCCCCGTCTTCCTTCCACACTCCCTCGCTCCTACACCCCTTCCACACACTACAGAGCAAGGCGGACGTTGATGCAGTGAAGAGGGAGGTGATGGTGCATGAGGTGCTGGGCGGGCATGTGCATGTGCTTTTAGACTCCTTCTGTTCCCTCTCCCTCCCCACGCGCCCTGTCCTTTCTCCGTGTCCCCCCTGCGTTTTGCAGAGCAAGGCGGACGTTGATGCAGTGAAGAGGGAGGTGATGGTGCATGAGATGGTGGGCGGGCATGGCTGTTGAGGCTCTTAGAGAGGATGATCCCTTCCATACTGCGCTGTCCCCCTCCCACACTCTTTCCCTCCTACATCCCCTTCCTCCCACACACTACAGAGCAAGGCGGATGTGGATGCAGTGAAGAGGGAGGTGATGGTGCATGAGGTGCTGGGCGGGCATGCCAACGTGGCAAAGCTGGAAGATGTGTTCGAGGACGAGGAGGTGTGTGGTGGTATGCGGTGGTATGTGGTGTGTGGTCTGGATGAGCAGTCTGGATGAGGCTTGGTGGTGCATGAGATGCTGGGCGGGTATGCCAACGTGGCAAAGCTGGAAGACGTGTTTGAGGACGAGGAGGTAAGTGGTGGGCGAGGGGTTATGGGGTGGTATGCGGTGGTATGTGGTGGGTGAGCAGTCTAGATGAGGCTTGGTGGTGCATGAGATGGTGGGCGGGCATGGGAACGTGGCAAAGCTCGAAGATGTGTTTAAGGACGAGGAGGTATGCGGTGGTGGTATGCGGTGGTGTGTGGTGGTGTGTGGTGGTATGTGGTGGTATGTGGTGGTATGTGGTGGTATGTGGATGAGGGTGTGAGTGTTGGGTGAGGGGGTGTGTGGTGGAGCTGAGAGTCTGGATTGAGGCTGCAAAAAACGTTTATGAATGTGGCTGGTTGAGTTGAGGTTTACCACAGGAAAACCTGCTGATGGGACGAGGAGGTGTGTGATCGAGCGGATTTTTTTTTTTTTTTTTTTTTTTTTTTTTTTAAGGGTTTCACAAAAGATTTGTGGCGGGCAGGCAGCTGATGTGTGTGTGTGTGTGTTTTTTTTTTTCTTCTGCAAAAAATAATGTAATGTGTGCAGGCTTACAATCCATTGGCTAGCAGTAAGAATTCTTCCATAACTCCATTTTGTTTTTTTTCATTATTTTCTACTTGCCATGGAATGTCTGCGATGGCATGGCATTTCCATGACTATGCATGGCATGGCATGGCACGGCAGGCGGTGCATCTGGTGATGGAGCTGTGCCATGGGGGTGAGCTGTTCGATCGCATCAAGGAGAGACGGCGCCTGGACGAGAGGGACGCTCAGGGCATCATGCAGCAGGTAAGGAGCAGGATATCTCACTTGCAGAATTACACGCAGAGCATGATGCAGCAAGCAACGTAATCACGGGATATCAAGCCTGAAAACATCCTCCTCAAGTCACACCCTTGTTGCCCCCCCTTCTGCATCCCATTCCCTATCCCCTACCCCTATCCCCTACCCCTATCCCCTACCCCTATCCCCTACCCCTATCCCCTATCCCCTATCCCCTATTCCCTCTGTCCCCCTTTCCCCCCTATTCTATCCCACCAGGTGCTGTCCGTGCTAGCACACTGCCACCAGCACGGCATCGGGCATCGGGACATCAAGCCTCTAATGCCCTAATCCACACCTCTCCCCCACCAACCCTGTTGTCTCACAATCTCATCAGGTGCTGTCTGTGCTAGCACACTGCCACCAGCACGGCATCGTGCATCGCGACATCAAGCCCGAAAACATTCTCCTCAAGTCACAGCAGTCCCTCTCTGACTGCCGGGTCATCGATTTCGGCATCGCTGCCATCGTGAAACCAGGTGGGCAGTGCGTGTCCTTGCAACAACAGTGAGAGGTCATCCTCCTCTTGTAGCACTCCCTCTCCAGGAGCCCGAAAACATTCTCCTCAAGTCACAGCAGTCCCTCTCTGACTGCCGGGTCATCGATTTCGGCATCGCTGCCATCGTGAAACCAGGTGGGCAGTACGTGTCCTTGCAAGAGTGAGAGGTCATCCTCCTCTTGTAGCACTCCCTCTCCAGGAGCCCGAAAACATTCTCGTCAAGTCACAGCAGTCGCTCTCCGACTGCCGGGTCATGCACTTCGGCATCGCTGCCATCGTGAAACCAGGTGAGATGCCAGGTGAATTGCCAGGTGCTCAAGGGGTCTGAGGCTCAGGCACCCGAGGTGGTGGAGGGCAGCTACTCCTTCATTGTGCAACTCCTTTTCTCATACCACTCCCCACCGTTCCCCACCGCTCCCCGCCACTTCTAACTGTTCCCAACCGCTCTCAACCCCCCATCTCAAGGTGCCAAGCCCCTGACTGGGTTCATGGGATCATCGTATTATGTGGCACCGGAGGTGGTGGATGGCAGCTACTCCTTCCTTGCGGACATCTGGAGTGCGGGGGTCGTGCTCTATGTCACTCGTTCTCTCTGATTCATGTCACCACTCCCCACCACTCCTCACCACTCTCTGCCACTCCCCACCACTCCTCACCGCGCTCCACCGCTCTCAACTCCCCATCACCAGGCGCCAAGCCCCTGACGGAGTTCATGGGATCACCATACTACGTGGCACCAGAGGTGGTGGAGGGCAGCTACTCCTTCCCTGCTGACATCTGGAGCGCGGGGGTCGTGCTCTATGTCATGCTGGCGGGAGTGCCGCCGTTTTGGGCGCGCACCGAAGCCGGAGTGATCAAAGCTATAAAGGAAGCCAAGGCGAGCTACAGAGGGGACGCGTGGCGCGGCGTGAGCGCGGAGGCAGTGGATCTGTTAAAGAAGATGCTTGTGAGGGATACTAAAAAGAGGCTCACGGCACAAGGGGCTCTTGGTAAGCATGCTTTCTATTCTTGTGTCCAGTTTCCTCCTATTTTCTTCTTTCGCTTCATTTCCCTTGCACCCCCCCCTCCCCTGCGAGTGCATCTGTGCACACTAAACATGCCGTTATTTCTGCGTGAGAGTCTTTTCCTTCATATTCGTTGCTGCTGCGACATTCGGTCTTCAACTGTGGTTCATGCATCCTTTGAATAACGTGCCTTTATTGTCCCTGTGGGCAGCCCATCCATGGTTTACTGCGCGGTGACGTTTCCATAACACATTCCCAATTCATTGAAACAATGCTGATTGCGAGTACACTCCTGGCACGCGGCACAAAACCTCGGGTCACAAAAGATGAGATACTGTACGGTGCAAACCATTGATCCTTAGGTGAAATTCGGTGCAGAGAAGTATGTGGTGTTTGTTGTGACGCGACTTCCCAGCAATGTGCCCTGCCCTGAGTGGGCAGCAAGCGGGATTAGAATGCGGTACACTGCAATGGTTTCCTACTGTTATGCGATCTGTGTGTGGTGGTTTTAGCACCGTTAGGAGGATTTAGTGGATCAAAATACAGGAAATACTGAATATGTTAGCTGATGTGAATGAATTTTTGTTATTCAACTACCGTACATCACAAAACATTTTAGGTTCTCTGGCGAAAGCACCGTGCTGGTTGTCATTCCATTTGTGGCCTGATTTGTTATGAACGGATGTTTCGTCCTTCTAAAGCGTAATCTTGGATAGTCGCTCAGTAACGCACCATGTGTCCGTGGCATACCACCCCTCTATGAGTCACCATATCAAAATTATACTAGGACAGGGTAACATCGACGCATGCCAAAATCACGTCGCGACGAAGCCAACCCATTGGCTTCGAAGTGGAGGGCGACAAAGCCAAATTTCTCGACAGAAACTATTGAAATTCAGGGTAACCAGTTCTCGCACGATCGTTGTCAAATCACGGTCCAGTACCCAACGATAGCCCCCTGCAGGGAGACGAAAAACATTACCAGCACCGCGGTTCCAGTAACGCGGAATCAGCAGCCCGAAAGTCGTTGCGCACAGCCACACACGGCAACGGGTGGCGGAGAAGCAGTAAACACGGGGGCAGAAGTCGCGGAAGGGACACTCCCGCGGAGGCCGTTTAGGGTTTAGCGAGCATATCCCTTCTCCTCCTCCTCGACTTACCCCTTTTTCTCCCTCCCACCACCAACCCTAGGCAGTCTAAGGAGCCTCGGGCATCTGTCCCGCCAACCTTTTCGCTGTAGTTCCGTCCTGTCCCCTCGCTACTGTCACAATGGTGAAGTTCCTGAAGCCGAACAAGGTGGTGGTGGTGCTGCAGGGCCGCTATGCCGGCCGCAAGGCGGTGATCGTTAAGAACTTCGACGACGGCGTTTCCGGCCGGCAGTACGGCCACGCGCTCGTTGCCGGGATCTCCAAGTATCCCCGCAAGGTGAGGTGGCCGATCTTGGTATGACGTGGCGTGGGATGTGGCCTTGCGTCGGGCCAGGAACCTGCAACCATGGCGGTTGACGCGGAAATTGATGCGTAATTTGCGGCGTCGACTAGTTTTGAGTAGTACTCGTTACCACCGTAGATTCGACTGTGCTGTGCAGCAATAGTCGATTGTACAGGTGGCCGCGCCATAAGCAGCATCCTCGAAGCAGCACCGTCGATCAGAAGCGGTCAAGGAAACATTGTCGATTAGGCAATCTCGAAAATACCGTAGACGTCGATTTTGAAGCGACGCGCCGTGGACGCCCACGTGTGAGTATCAGCTTGTATAACCGGCAGACAGACATGCGGGATGGTTGGTGTGAGGGCGCGAGAGAGCGAGCGATCGAAGGACCGAGGGACCGAAAATGCGCCCCGTGAACGCTGACGTGTTGCGCGTGCAGACAGATATGCGGAATGGTCGGAAGGAGGGAAGGACCGACGGACCGTTAGTTTGGCCATCTTGAAATGCGCGCCGTAAACGTCAACGTGTTGCGCGCGCAGACGTATCGCAGGGAGAAGAGGACCGAGAGATGGTTAGTTTGGCCGTCTTGAGCTGCGCGCCGTGCACGTCAACGTGCAGAGTCGACAGACAGAAATGCGGGCCCCGTGTGAGCGAGGGAGGGAAGGAGACGGAGGAACCATCGAGGGATTATAGGGTCAAAGGGCCGTGACCTAGGTTCGACGTCCGTTGACTTGGGGATTTTTCGTATCCGCGCGTATTTTGAGTCGACTCAAAACACACCCGTGGGAGCGGGGGAGGTCGGAGACCGAGGAGACTGAGGAACCACCGAGGGATCATGGGATCAAAGGGCCGTGACCTAGGTGGGACGCCCGCTAACTTGAAGTATCTCGTTTTCCGCGCTTCGAGCAAGTGGTCAGCCGTCAGCCAGGCGTGAATTCACCGTCAGCCAGGCTTGAATTCACCGTCAGCCGTCGGACAGGCTCAGTTTGGCCGGCAGTCGTCTGATAGGCGTAGTTTCCGCGTCTAGTTTTCTTGGCGCCTCAAAAGCCGTCAACCGTCAACCACCAGTCACGCTTGAATCTGCGGAAGTAGTTCTGATACTGCTGGACGTGGATCAGGGTTTTTCCATCTGTGATTCATTTTGCGCCAGACCGCCTTCGTCGCGCTTTTTACGGCGGCCCGATCAGGATGCTGGTGGTGTGGACGTAGATTGAGATACGTGTCCATCCGACGTAGATCAACTCGGGTCTTACGGACGTGGATCGACGGCTGTGATGACGCGTTAGAGGTGTGTAGGAGTTCTTGCATTGAGGTGGAAGGGTGACAATTTTCCCACTCAAAATACCTGCGCGCCCCTCCACACGCCTCCCCACTCCTCCCCACTCCTCCAGGTCACGAGGAAGATCACCTCCAAGACCCTCGCAAGGGTGTCTTTCCCCTTCTCACCTCTCCCACTTCCCCGCACATCTTCCCACTCCTCGCCTCCCCGCCCCACTCCTCCCCGCTGTTTTCCACCCCTTCCCACTCCTCCAGGTCACGAAGAAGCTCACGCCCAAGACCCTCGCGAAGCGCTCGCAAGTGAAGGCGTTCATCAAGCTTGTTAACTATAACCACCTCATGCCCACTAGGTAATTAATCTGCCCACTAGGTATTATTGACTGCTAGATAGTTGATTACCTTGTTTGCAAGTGGGGGACTTTATCCAGCTCGTTAACTACAATCACCTTATGCTATGCGCCCACTAGGTAACTAATTTGCCTATCTGATTAACTACATCGCCTATTGGGTAATTAATCTGCCACTCCAGCCTCCTCCGCATCCCACTCCCCCCTCTCCCCTCACTAAATTCCCCTCCTGCGCTGTTCCCCGTATCCCGCTCTCCCAACCCCCACATCCCCCCTTCCTGTTCTCTCATATTTTCCGCCCCGATCCCCTGTACCTCTCTCTTTACTTGTCCCACATCCCTCTCCTGTTCGCCACAATCCTTCCTTTTATTCCCTTTACCCCCCTCCCCTATCCCCTGCATCTTAAATTCCTACTTCCCCGCTTCCCCTCTGACACGCTCCCACATCCCTCTCCCATTTCCCCACATCTCTCTCACTCCACCGGCACACCTTGTCATTCATAAACCACCCGCCCCTCCCAACCTCACCCTCTTCCGCTTCCTCCAAGTACCCTCCCCCTTTTTTCCCTTTTCCGCCTTTCCCTTCCTCGACTTTATCTCAGCATACGCGTTGACTTATGTTGACTGCTGTTTCAGTTCGACTTGACCACATCATTACGGCCACTTGAAAATTTTTTGACACCCATTGACCATTCATGACAATCGTGGACTCCCATTGGCTCTCATTTTACTTCCGTTTGACGTACGTTGACTGGCGTTGACCGCAGGTACCAGCTGGACGTCGACCTCAAGGGCACGGTGACGGCCGACGAGCTTGACCTGCCATCTGTGACATTGACTCTGTTTGACTTCCCGTTGACCCCTTTGTGCCCCCGTTGACCCCCGTTGGCTGGCGTTGACCGCAGGTACCAGCTGGACGTGGACCTCAAGAGCACGGTGACGGCTGACAAGCTTGAGAGCTCGGCCAAGCGGGTGGAGACCAAGAAGGTGAGGGGGGGTGAGGGGAGGGGAGAGCAAGGAGAGCATAAGTGCTTTGTACAAAACCTTTTTTATTACAGTAGAAAGGTGAGGAGGGGGAAAGTGAAGGCAGGAGAGAGGGGGGAGGAGAAAGCGGGGGTGTTTTGGGGCTGGACACAAGAATCGGCCAAGCGGTAGAGACCAAGAATGTGAGCGAGGGGGCGAGCGAAGGGGAGGGGAGGAACGAAGGGGGGGGAAAGAAGAGAGAGGGGAAAGAAGAGAGGGGGGAGGAGCAGAGGGTGGGAGGAGAAAGGGCTGAGGGAGAGCAATACGATTGGGGAGGGGGGTTGAGAGAGAGAACAGGGGGGAAGACAGAGTGGATTGAGAGAGGGAGGGAGAGGAAGGCAAATTTGGGTGAATGTTCGTAGGCTGCGTGCAAATCAATGTGTTTTCTGGCCTTGTGACTCACGCCTTTCTTCAGCTGTGCCATATCCCCTCCCCTTCTTCCCCCAACTCTGATTTCCTCCCCGTTCTGTTTTTCCATGTTCTCTTCCCTTCTCTTTGTCCCTGCTCATAAAGTGCTTGTGTTGACCCTTCCTCCTTCCTCGTCTCCCTCTGCCCATTCCTCGGCTCGTTTGCCCACCTGCCGGTTTGCCTGTTATGCCCATCTGCCTGTACGGCACCACAGGAGCTGAAGAAGATCTTCGAGGAGCGATTCAAGACGGGCAAGAACAGATGGTTCTTCTCCAAGCTCCGCTTTTAAGCGCTGGGGACAAAACACATGGTTGCAGTTTCCGAAGCTGCGTTTCTTATGGGAGAATGAGAAGTTTCTCATTGGTGGTCAAGTGTAATCCTGCACTGATTGAGCTCCTGAAGCTAGCATAAGGCCGGTCCGGTAGAATCTGAGAAATATGATTGTTTTCTCATGGCTGTATGTGCTTTGGATTAGTTACGAGTGTACTCTCTCCAAGGCGCTCTTCCGTGTCTGCTGAAAATCTCTGAAAGAATCTGGCATCTCTCCTAGTGCGTTTACCTGTGCTATCTGACAGATGTGTGTTGATATTTTGATGGGTGTCAAGGAATCCAGAGAGAAATAGAATTCTTATTGCAAAATGTTTTGACGTATATATTCTATCAAAATAAAGCTCTGTAGAGAGACTTGTCCCGGCTTGCACGAAATCGTCGTGGCACTGTTCACAGTTCGTGCTGACTCAATTCACCTGGAGAGTGGGCCACGGGTTGAGGACTTATTATCGAGTCGGAGTGCTGTTGTGTACAGTGCTACATCACTACAGTAACTTTGTTCCACATATTTGCCTAACCAGCCAAACGAAACAGACGACCTTTCTCTTCTCTCGGTCACTGTCCTTGTACAGTATGATGCCCGCCTGGCTTCCTCACGCACATCGCCTACGGTGTATGAGGCTCGAATGAGCCCTACTGTAGTCTGCGTTTTTACGATGTTTTGAAGATCAACCAAACCAAATGAAACTTCGTGGTTCATGCACCATTCTGTGCATTGGAGTCCAACATCGTAATCCAATCTAAATTGTAAATCTGAGGATGCTGCATTCAACAGGGGCTGGTCTCACCTCAAGCCATCATTTTGCTGCCAACATGAGACTACAGTTGCAATGTCTTTGCAGGTTCATTCTTAGGAAATACTGCAGATAATTCCTCCAACAAACACGTATGTCAATTTGTGGGGGCCCCTACTAAGTGTCCAGTGTTGTGGCATCCATGCTCTTTACGGCTCCTGTTTTCTCCGCTCCACCAACCGTAACCCTATATTGTATGAGCGTTATGCTTGAGAGGGACCATCAATCGCCTGCGTGTTTTGAAATTTTAAAAGTTTCAGAGATTGCGGACAAAATTCTGACGGGAGGGCTTGTAAACGACTTTCGTTTCCCGTGCTCAAATGTTAAAGAGTCGGCGTACCAATTACACTATAATATTGTTGCGATAGGGTTGGACATCCATTGTAGTGTAAATCCACATCCTCTATCATCGACTCCTCTCCTCCTTCCCTTCCCTCATGGTTTCCGGCTTCCCTGGTTGACTCGCTTGGCCGTGCGCTACCGCCAAGCCCACACCTAGCGGAACCAGTACAGTACTTGCACCGCACGCCACGCCAGCGCCGCAATGCCAGGGTCAGTGTGACTCACAAGTCCCAAAGAAAGTGGTGTCTCCACCACTAGTGTTCGGATTCGGGCGCGCGAGAATCCTGGAGGGGAGGTTGAGATGTGCGCAAGCGGACAGCCGAGCCCACTCTCCGCACGATCCAGTCCAGTGATCCCCCCCCCGCACGATCCAAGGCATGCCATTTCCAAGCGTCCACGCGAGGAGACACCATGGACTCTCAAGCCAGTGAGCTCGCCATCAAGTTCCCATTATTTCTTCCTCCCCACCCCATAATTTCTGCTCGTGCTGGAGGAGGCGTAAGTGGTTTTACTTGGCGTATCCCAGCATCCTGCGAAGTTTCGGCTCTATCCAACAGATTAACTACCTCGTACAGTCCTTTCCACGAACACACTTCAAGCTTCATTGCTGTCAGTCATCCTCACAAACTCAGATTTTTGGAATCATCACAAACACCTTCTTTCCTTTCACTGCTCAACCACGAAAGCTCTTCATTTCTGTACTAACCGCGGATTGCGGGATATCCATTTTCCCTCTTGGACGAGATTTTCTTGAGCTGTTACGAGTTGAAAGCTAACTAACTCCAACCGATTGTACGGAAGAGTCGGCGAACTTCTCGTGAACGAACCCCGTGCGAGAAATGTCTTGGCAATCTGGATCAGAAGTCGAGCCGCTGCAACCGCCGCCCGTGGCGCAACAGCAGCAGCAACAACAACAGCACCAGCGCCACCGCAGCACCCAATCGGAAGAATTCGAGTCAGCAGTCGCTGCCGTCATTTCGCGAATCAAGATCGACAAGCCCCCTTCGTCAAATTTCGAGTCGGCGCCGAAGCCGCCTCTCCCCGCGGCGGCGCGCGAAGCAGCGGATTTCTCTATGGGAGAAACGTCGTCGGCGCCGCGTTTCGCGGCGGGGCATCAGGCCCAGCTTCAACATGACGGAAGCCCTTGGGAAAACCCGAGCGCGCATTCCACGGCGGATATGATCGTGTCTCCGCCGGCGACGGCTTATCTCCGCCCGAACCGCTTCGGCACGCCGCTGGTGCGTCCTTCTAGCGCGGGGAGCTCCCGCGGGGGCAGTTCTGCCGGCGGCGGGAGTTTCCGCGCGCAGCGCGGCGACGCGTCGCCGCCTACGTTTAATATCCCGTTAACTACCACTCACACGCAGAAGCAGCGTTGGCCGGACAGCCACGGCGCCCAAACCCTAAGCGCGTGGCTCCAACGAACCAGCAGCTCAGGCTCGGGATCTGGTTCGGAAGGCAAAGCAGCACAAGACCACGGGGCGCTGCAGCGCTGCGCTTCGGCGCCGCACGAGCGCAACGGCGGCGGCGTGAATTCCGACGGCGCGCCGCGCGGCGGCGGTGACGAAGCGCGCGAAATAGCGGCGGCGCTACAATCTGGCGGGGGCGGCGGCGGGATGCAGCAGGAAACCGAGGAGGAGCGCTCTATAAAGCGCCGGCTTCTAAACCGCGAATACGCGAAGCGGTCGCGGCAGCGGCAGCACGAGCGCTTCGTGGAGCTCGAGGCGCAGGTGAATTCTATGGCGGCGGAGAAACGCGCCGCGGACCAGCGGCTTCAGGAGATGGAACAAGCGCTGATGATCCTCCAGGAGGAAAACGCGCGGCTGCGGCAGATTGCCGCGGGGCGCTACAGCCGCGACATGGCGGAAATACTGCGCGCGATACAACAGGCGGGGGGATTTCCCGCGGAGGCGGCGGCGGGGCTTTCCGCCGCGGGAGGGTTTCCCCCGGGAGGGTTTGCGGCGCCAGTAGAGCCTCCGCAAACGGGTTTCGCGCCCGACGCTCGTGGCGCTCGCGGTTTCCTAGAGGAGGGCGCGTCCGCTCCCGCCTCCGGTTCCGCCGCCGCCGCCGCAGCAGCAGCAGCGCGAGTAGATTTGCGTTTTAATGCCGCGGGCGCGTTTACCGGTGCGAGCAGCTATCAGGGGATCGAACTCGCGGGGACAGACACTGAGACAGCGATTGGGGGGAACTGGCCGCGCAGTGCTTCCGCCCCTGCGCCTGAACACGTCAGCGGAGGAGCCCATGCTCCGCAAGCGCCAGGTAGGGGGAGGGGGACATTCCCCCTCCCTCCGCCTGCACTAGCTTCGTCAATTCAGGGTTTTTTTGGGCAGCCCGGAGAAGCAAGGCTGGGTGGCGGAGATTGCACGGTGAGAGAACTTTCTGCAACGGAAGACAAGAATGAAATGATGATTTTCGCTGCAGCTGCTGCCTCTGCTGCTGCTGCTTCCTCTGCCCCAGCTCCCGCTGCTCCTGCTGGTAACCCCAGGAGTTTCGACAGTTTCGCAATGGGCGGCAGCCAAGTCAACTCAGGTGAATTTTCAGGTGTTTTCTCTGCTACCGCCGCTGCTACTACTGCAGCAAATTCGGGTTTTGGAGTTGCGTTCAACTCACGAAACAGTACCAGCTTCGGTGCCGGATACCCTGCTGAGTTTGCAGCTAACACCCGTGCCACTGGCCTCGCTCCAAACCACCATAATCCCGCAACTCCCGTATCTGCTAATGCTGCGTTCAGCTCGGCGTGTTTAGGGTTTGGTGCTGCTGACGTGGACATTTCCCTGGGAGCAGATGAGGACACGGCTGCTTTGCTGGCTGTGGCTGGGCTTGTAGGGGGGAATGGGGGAAGTGGGGAGAGAGGTAGGCTGGGTGGGGCGAAGGAGGGAGCAGAACTGGGGAATGGGATGGAGGATGTGGGAGGGGTGGGAGGAGGGGGAGGAGGGGAAGGAGGGGAAAGGGTGGAGGGGTCGAGCTGCGGAGCGGTGGGGGGGGGGTGCGGGGGAGTGGAATGAGCACGAAGGGACCCTGTTTGCTATGATCCATCACCTACACAAGCAGCTGTGAGGCATTTAGGTTCGAGAATGATTGGGTGGCAGTCCAGTCCATGGGTCTTGCTTAACCAATCAGCATCTGCAGCTGGGGTGCAGATACAAGCAACTTCGAAGCCGGAGTATCGAGGGAGCATGTAAGCATGTGAGACTTGTGAGACTTTCACATGCACAGGCAGTGGTGAAACATGTATGCTGCTGCTGACGCCTTTGGGGAGCCAAGAGAGTGGTCTGCTTGCTTCTGCTCTCCCTTCTTTCATTCGTCTGCCTACCAGCCAGCTCTCTGGTACTGGTAGGATGTGCTACTGGTATTTCTCACCAGAGAGAACCTGCTCGGCTAAGGCATTATTTAATTTGTTTATTCATTAATATGATTGTTTATTGTTTTCAGCACTTCCCTGATTTGTTTATTCATGTGAACACTCTTCCCAGCAATGATAGTTTTTAGTGGAAAAAAAATGTCTGGAGGTGCATAATGTGTTTACAGGGTTGTTTTGATCTCATCCACACCCAGAATACTAGCAGGTCCTGTACTATAGTCTAGCAGTCACACATGCACACACACACCTACAATACACAATGTCACTGATCACTGTCCAATCAGACACTGCAGCATCCAAAACCCTCTCATCTGCCCTGCTCCATTTCATAAGGCAACAAGCAGGAACAAAAGTGCCAAGATTGAACTACCAAAAGAGGGTTTTGTGCGGCATACTAGGTAGGTGGAGGAAGAGGTGTGGGCATAGCAGAGCTAGGGTCTATAGGGTCCATCAGACTAGGAGAAGGGAGGGAAGAGGCCACACAGAGCGAACTTCCTACGCGAAGGGGAATCCGATGCGCACGACAAATTCACACGCGTTGTAGTTGCGATCGTACTGCACGTCGCCTGCCATGGCTAGCAGGATCTTGCGGCACACCGAGAGGGAAGGTGGTTGAGGAGATGAGGAAGAGGACTGGAGAGCGAGGTTCTAAGCGAAGGGGAACCCAATCCGCACGACAAACTCGCACGCGTTGTAGTTGCGGTCGTACTGCACATCGCCCGCCATGGCGAGGAGAATCTTGCGGCACACCGAGAGGCCAAGCCCCTCCTGCGTGCGCGTGGTGGGGTCTGCCTCGTCGTACAGCTGCTGCACCAGCTCCTGGGGGAGCGCTCCCGAGTGTTGCACCCTGCAAGGGGAGAGGGGGAGGGGGGGAGGAGTGGGGGGGAGAGAGGGGAGATTGATGGATGAGCAAGGGAGGGTGTGTGGTGAGGAAGCAAGGGTGAGGAAGCAAGGGCGCTCATGGATCTTGCGGCACACGGAGAGGCCAAGCCCCTCCTGGGTGCGCGTGGTGGAGTGGGTCTGCCTCGTCGTACAGCTGCTGCACCAGCTCCTGTGGGAGCGCTCCCGAGTGTTGCACTCTGAAAGGGGGGGTGGAGCAAAGGCAACCGCACTGGTCAGGTACTCTGCCAGGGCCTGCTGCAGGCGGGCTGAGAGAATTGACGCCCCCCCCCCCCCCAGCCTGCTGCTGCAGGTGGGCAGGGTCCCCTTCGATGCGAGCCCATCCCATGCCAATCCCACACCCCTTCCCGTCCCCTGCTCGTTCCCTGCTACTTCCACTCACCGGAATTCGCATTTGAGGGAGCCTTGATCGCCGAACAGGCTTCTGGTGCTGGTCACAAGCCGAACCTTCACCCACCCGCCTTGCGGCGTAAACGCCACCGCACTGGTGAGGTACTCCGCCAGGGCCTGCTGCAGGCGAGCAGGGTCTCCTGCGAGGCCCGGGAACGAGCGCAGCTGCGGCGGCGGGTCGAAGGAGAGCGAGACTTCGCGCCGGGCGGCCGCCTGCTTGCCCTGCGCAATGACCGCGTCGATGACTGATGCGATGGTGAAGACGGCCGGGATGATGTTGACGTAGCTGAGACGGGTGGGGAGGGAGGGATTGGGAAATGTGAGATCATAAAGTGGGCTTGTTTCCCCTGGGCGATCACTGCGTCGATGACTGATGCGATGGTGAAGACGGCCGGGATGATGTTGACGTAGCTGCAGAGGGGAGAGGGGGAGGGGAGTGGAGGGATAGGGGGTGTGTGACGCCATGAGATGAAGCTTGCTGGCCCTGGGCGATCACTGCGTCAATGACCGATGCGATGGTGAAGACGGCTGGGATGATGTTGACATAGCTGCAGAGGGGGGGGGGGGGTGGGGGAGGGAGGGGAAGTGGGGAAAGGGGAAGGTGTGTGAGATAACAAGATAGGCGGCCTGCTTGCCCTGAGCGACCACCGCATTTATGACTGATGCGATGGAGAAGACGGCCCGGATGATGCTGACGTAGCTGAGAAGGGGAGGGAGAGGGGGAGGAGTTGGGACGGGGGAAGTGGGGGAGGGGAGGGGAGGGGAGGGATAGGGGGCGTGTGAGATCAACCCCTTCTGGTACCCTTCTGCCTGCCTTGCTTCAACTCACCCTTCTTCAATGGTGTCAATATCGTCATCCCCCAGGATCCTGTCCACCTGCTCCTTGCTACGCCCACCACACTCATCTCCTGCCCTAGACACCTGTGTATCAGGTATAACGTGTTTGGCCCGCCGCAACACAACTCACCCTTCCTGCATTCAATTAACTCACCCCTCTTCAATGGTGTCAATGTCGTCATCCCCCAGGATCCTGTCCACCTGCTCCTTGCACCGCTCCGCCACCCCAACCGCATTCTTCTCCTCCTCCCCGACCAGCCGCCCCTCCTGCTCCTCCTTCCGCAGCCCCTCCAGCGCATGCTCAATCCCATCGAGCGGCCCACGAATGGCGTCCCTGGTGTAGGCGACGGCTTTGGCCTTCTCCTTGGCGAAGTCCTGCGTGGCGCGCTGCAGGTTGAGGGCTGCCTGGAGCTCCGCGGAGACGGTGTGCAGGAAGCAGAACACCCCCGTCACGTGCCCGTCGGAATCCCGGCGGGTCTGCACGGTCAGAAGCGCCTCCACCAGTTGGCCCTGTGGGGGAGGAGGAAGGGAGTGGGGGTGGGAGTGGAGGGGAGTGGTGGGGGGAGGGAGAGGAGGGGAATGGTGGGGGATGGAGAGGAGGGGAGTGTGGGGGGGGTGAGTAAGGGACAGGTGGGGGATGCAGGTTGAGGGCTGCCTGGAGCTCGGCAGAGACGGTGTGCAGGAAGCAGAACACCCCCACCACGTGCCCGTCTGAGTCACGACGCGTCTGGACCGTCAATCGAGCCTCCACCAGTTGGCCCTGCGAGGGGGAAGTGAGGGAGGGGTTCCGGGGGAGGGAGGAAGAGGGGGGGGGGAGGAAGTGGGGTTTGGGATGGGGAGGAGGGGAGTGTAGGGAAGGAGGGTGAGGACATCTGGCTGGACATGGCCTTGTTGATCACAATCATCAGCTTCCTCATCATATCTGCCTTCATGCTTATATGCATGCATGCCTGCTTGCTTGCATGCTCCCACGTGTGTCAGTTCAGTATTGAGGGATTGGGAGCACTAGTGCATGTCTTTCATTCACCCATGAATGCTCTACACCGCACAGTACAAGCACTCTCACTCATGCACACACTCGCATGGGCATCCAGGAACTCGAGAGGATAGCGGTCGGTCATCTGCCCGGACGGACATGGCCTTGTTGATCACAATCATGAGCCTCGTCATCGTGTGAGATCCAAGACTCACGTGTGCAACCAACCAAACACTCACATGAGCATCGAGGAACTCGAGGGGGTAGCGGTCGGTCATCTGCCCGGACATGGCCTTGTTGATCACAATCATCAGCTTCGTCATCGTGTCCGCCTTCATGCGGCAGATGGGGCCGAAAATGCCGCCCAGCAGCAGCCGGTCGATGGCCTGCTGACGTGGCACCCCGGTGATCCTCTCCATCGCGGGGTTCCAGTCCGTGCAGTTGCCAAAATCTGTAATGAGGTGGAAAGGGGTTGAAGGGGGTTGAAAGAGGTGGAAGGGGTGGAAAGGGATTGAAGGGGATCGAAAGAGGTGGAAGGGGTGGAAAGGGTTGAAAGAGGTCGAAAGGGGTCGAAAGGGGTTGAAAGGGTGGAAGAAGTGGAAAGGGGTTGAAGGAGGTGGAAAGGTTTGAAAGGGGTGGAGTGAGGGTGGCAAACCAGCACCCAGGCACTGACAATCAGTAGAAAAGATCGGGGGGATGAGCGAGTTGCTGCCGGGAACAATGGCCTCGTAATCTCCCTGCAGGCAAACGAACTAGCCCTGCACTGCCGTCACGTCACGTCCCACCCCCAAGCCCTTCCTTCCCCCCCACTCCCCTTGCAAGCACACACCCAGGCACCCCCAAGCACATGAGAATGCATCTCACCGTCAGTGGAGAAGATCGGAGGGATGAGCGAGTTGTTCCCATGCACGATCGCCTCGTAATCGCCCTGCAGGCGTGTGAACTTGCCCTGCACTGCCTTCTGCGCCGTCACGTCCTGCCCCACGAAGCACACCCCCACCACGTCCTCCATGTCATCCCCCCCCATGGCTGTCCCGCGGCTGGCAAAGGCGTTGACGACGAGGATGACCGAGTCCTTGTTGGACTGCACCACGCCCCAGGTCCGCAGGTGAATCTCCAGCTCCTTGCTCTCCTGGCCTGCAGTTGCAGGGAAGAGGGAGAGGGGAAGGGCGTGACGGGAAGGCAGGGAGTGAAGGGACGGGAGGGAGGGAGCGGAAGGCAGGGAGAGGGAGAGGGCAAAGGCGTTGACGACGAGGATGACCGAGTCCTTGTTGGACTGCACCACGCCCCAGGTCCGCAGGTGAATCTCCAGCTCCTTGCTCGCCTGGCCTGTTGAGGGTGGGAGGAGAAGGGCACGGGGAAGCGAGAAGGGGGAGAGAGGGAGAAGGTGCTGAGAGCCACAGTGACACAGCCCTTGGGGGGAAGGACTGATTTGGAGGACAGGGCCACGACCAAGAGCTGAGCATTCCGCACAAGGCAACACACGGAGCACACAGCCCACACAGCATACAGCACAGGTAGCTAGCGCACTACTAACGACC